GATGTTTTAGTCTCATATTGAGATCTATTTTTGGCATAGAAAGTGATCGAATTGGAGAATGATGTCTGAATCAAAGTTGTAGCCAGATGGTTTAGCTTTCCAACGCATTTTGAATCGCCTCAATCGGATATCGAAATACAAAGTTATGATAAAAATATTGAAAGAAGGTGTAGCTACCTGTTTAAAACAAGAAATTCCGTTACATAGTCCGTTAAAACAACAAATTCCGTTAGTTTTTCCGTTAAAACCAAGAAATTTCGTTACATAGCAACTTTTAATATATAGAAGATATATCTATTGCAACATCAATAACACTGTCGATTATTGTTAATACAACTAAAACTTCGTTATGTTCCATATAGATATTTGAAGCTAATTACACAAGTATTTTTAAAATTGATTTACATTAATAAAATTAGAATTCTAACTTTTTGTCAATATTCTAAAAAGTGTAATGCGTGACAATGCATAAATGGCCAAACTATGGACTAGACGAGCTTAAGCAGAGTATGGGCATAAAAAAGCATAAAAATGAATTTTCTTATTTTAATACTATTATAATTTTTAACTATTTAATAATTAAAAATAATACATATCAAACATCTAAAACAGATTAGGAATTTTATACATTTTTTCAAAAGCTTCCAACAAAAAAATAAGTTTCAAATGTAAATCAGCATTTAACTTTTAACTTTAACAGAATTGTTAAAAAATAAAAATAAAAAGATAATAGGCACTTTTAATCAAAACTAACTAACATGCCTTTTAGAACACTTTTTTTTTGTATACCTCAAAACTTTATTTCAGCTTCACTTCACCACGAAGAAATTTAAACTACAGATTAAGCTGTACTGCAACTAATCGCTAGAAAGGCTGGCAACAAGATTGGGTATAGTGATAGTGGTTCACCTCAGCATCACATAGCGAAGAATATAGTATTCGACTAAAAATGCATGATCTTCATCTCTGGTCGATCCTTCGATTTCCATCTCTTTGAGATTGCTTTGCAGGGCTCAATTTCCTAAACGAGGCATGTAAAATCAAGACTGCAAAAATACGTACGAATATCTCAGTAACACTGAATGCCCCTGAAAAAGAAAAGGTGCTAGGGTAAAGAATGCCAACAGAAGGCGGTAACGAATGCAAACCTGCGTAACTGACACCAAGAGCACATAAGAGGGCCAACTGAACATTGGAAAAGAGCATAATAACTGCAGTTGATGTGAGGACAAGGAAGCTTGATTAGCATTTTGAAGATGGGATAATACCATGTGCAAAATTTATAGCATCGGTTCCAAACCTATCACTTTTTTGCAGATTTTACTTTAACCTTCACTTTGTGCCACCCACAATTTCAAACCTTTCAAAAATTAGCACCTGGGATCCAAATTGATACTTTCTGTTAATTTGACCGTTAGTTGACCCCAATAAATTGACTTTGACATATTTTAAAAGGGAAAAATAGTAATTTTGAATTAAAATTAAAAAACTAAATAACAAAGGAAAAAAATAAAAAGAAAATCACTGTTCGTCTTCCTATTCCAACACCTATCCCTCCTGATGCTACTCCTTCTGACACCACCTCCACCATCAACAGTAGTAAAAAACCACCATTCCTTACATACCATTGGACTCTCATTGCATTTCTCACGATTGTCCATTGGCAACAAGATTTACTGCTTCAATAACAGATTCAGCTCTCACTTTCCCAATTTCCCTCAAACCTAAACTGCAGTTTTCATTTACTTTCTTAACATTTCCCATGGTCAAATTCCCTTGTTCGCGTATAAAATCGGAGAAGCCCCTATACGTGGATGAGACAGAGTTTGAAACTCCAGTGTTCCATTGTGAAGACAAATCAGGTCCACCGCGAATGCCCTTATTTACCCTTTGAATCCCGACATGTAAATCCCCATTTTCTACCCTATAGAACACAATCGAATCACCAACAATGAGCTTCTTTTGTTGCACAAACTTACTCCACTTGGTTGTCAAAAGATGTCGATGGGGTGTCCCTCTATAGATATGCCTAAATTTCTAAATCTCCCCTCGAAAATCCTTGGCAAAAATTGTCTAAACTAAGGGCTCAGCCAAATATTCAACCTCGAAAAATAGTGTCAGCACAATATCTCAGAACGGAGAATTTCTCACCATTTTTTGCATCACACTGTGTCAATGTCTTAGCAAATGAATTTGATTGGATTTAGAAGGGGGTTACCCCTTTTAAAATTTGTCGAAGTGAATTTATTGGGTCAACTAACGGTCAAACTAACACAAATCATCAATTTGGACTCCATGTGCTAATTTTTGAAAAGTTTGGAAGAGTGGATAACACAGAGTGAAGATTAAGGTAAAGTCTGGAAAAAAAAAATGATAAGTTTGGGATCGTTGCTGCAATTATCCCATTTTAATTTGTAGAATAAGCCATTCTGAGAACATCAGTGATGAGCAAAAAGGTCATTTTACTAAAAAAATCTCAATCATGCATGTACTTTCCAACAACCTGTACCACAAAACTGAAGGAAAGCCCCATAAACTCCTCAAGTTGCCGAAAGCTTTTGGTACCTTGGTGAAAAAACCACGAAGCAGAAGATTGTCTCTTCAAAGAGGGTGATGTACATTATATGGTAGAAAGATCAGAATTAAGCTCATTATTGGTAGCAACAACCGCAATTAACTAATTAAACAAAACATCAGAAATTTGAGATCAATAATGACACCAAAAATCTGTGCTTGTAGTCTATCACGACCATTGCATTTTAATCCATGGAACCAGGTCGTGTGAGTTTCCTGATACATAGTAGTCAAAGAAATGTTCGCTTGACGTAAGCTATCAAAAGCTTCACAAAGTTTTGGAAGTATTGCTGGCATTAACCTACTCCCCCTCCATCTCCCTATTAGAGGAGTAGGAGCGAAAATGTAATGTTATTTGATCCCAGATATTAAAATCAATAATCTGGTGGTGCATTTTATTAAGTATCCTTCAAAACATTATTTCGGTTACATCCCCAATTCTGCCCTGCCTTCAAACTATGCCACGTAGGCAGTTCAGAATTGTAATCATGTTCGCCTTTCACCATTAACCCTAAAAAGCCACCGTCACGAAATAAAGTTCATTGACGTTATTTAATCAGCAGATGGTCCTCAGCAGTAGTAAAACTGTACTTATTCATGTATGCATACAATAGTAGGCTAAATTGGCAACCATCGAAAATCTAAGCTCTAGTTATTGTTCTCAAAGGGCACACTTTGGAATTGGAGCCCTCAAAGCCACTGTCACGTAATCAGGTTATTATGTATGATTTATAGTTTTATTCCCCTTCATCCTATATACCTAAAAACTAAATGGATTAACGAATCTATATGAAAAACAAAGATTTACAAGAAACTTATCTACTTCCAGCCAATGAACACAAGTTTTTTTCACTGTGTCCAAGAACAGATTCCATTCATCTGCATTTTTGCAGGTTTGTAACCTACTATGCAGAAACTTAGTTTACTTCCACCAAACAAATGCAGCAAACAAGAAATAGCGATTTGAATTCGAAGAGCATGAACTCAACTCACCACACTGGGCAATATGAAGCAATGTCTCTCTGAAAGAAGGGCGCCTATGTAATACCCACTGATCAGCACAAAACTTAAATAGGTCCCAGAGTGCCAAACATGATATCAACCCAACGAGAGCTAGCGGCAATTGATAGCTACAATTGTAACCAACAGATTTAAACAGTAACTATAACATGAAAACATTACAGATCAAAGATTGAAAAAGATCCACAAGACACTGGTATAGACGTGAACTTTATATTTTCTCATATTACTAGTGAA